TATAGTGGTAATGGACTTCTAACGATCCGAGCTTGGCTCCCCACTCAAGCCTGAAATGGATGACAAGATAGAGATCGAGCATCCAGAGTCAATGAGGAAATGTGGACCCTCTAACTTAACGAGCAAGATACGGGAAGCTAAGCTTCTTACTTGCCTATTTCCTGGGTGGCTCTTCAGGAGAGCCATCCACAGGACCTGTGATTACCTCGAAGGACATACATTGGCTCTATGGTCATAAGTTATGGCTTATAACCACCACAGCTGTAACACTGGTTATATCCATACTGAAGATAAGGAGTGCTACGATATCCTTCGCCTTTGCTATGTCCCTTCGAATGGCCTTTTTCTTTCTGAGGTTGGTTTCCCCTACCAGAAGACCACCTCTGATTCCAGCTTTCATAATATCTCCAGCCTTTAGAATTGCCTTTCTGGGGCTGCTAGCCCTTCGCTGGCGCGGTGACTACCGCACTGAATTCCTCTGGGCCTCCTGCTAGGGTGGTACCACCACCAGTCTCGTCTATCTCAAATAGAGGCCTGGTGAGATTAATAACTTTCGTAAGGGTCCTCTCCTTAGATTCCAAGGAAGACCAGAGACCGTAGCTCTGACGCACCGTTTGCGTCTGAGGCAATGTATTCCAATAAAAGGTCGCTGCAATGATTCCCATGGGATGATTGTAGTGCAATCATCTCATGGGAAGCGGTATCTAGATCTCTGAATGCCAACACTGTATAATACAGTGCCAATACAATAATTGTGTCGCACTTCGGCTCCATAACAATCAACTGTATCTTGGTCAATGCGGAATTGCATGGCAATCAGCTTCTCGAAGCATTGCCTAAACTCCTTGGCCGAAAGACCTATGGAGACGGAGTCAAATCTCTCGTTTGATTGCCTCATCATCTAATGATGGGGCGAAGCTTTGCTTAGAAAGGGGTCTATAAGCCTTCCGGGAAGGGCCTTCCCTGTCAGGCTATTAATCAAGTTAGACCTCCTCTCCTGTGGGGTCCAATTTTTGAACGAGCAATCGAGCGCCATCGCGCCTGCCACTTATCGAGTGACATCGGATTGGGCGCTTTCTCGCCACTAAAGAGTGCGAGCTTCGGAGCCTTAAATTCTATATCTCCCCCGCTAATTCAGAAGTCCTGTGCAGAAACAGGTGGGCGATTACATGGTGGAACACCTCCATCAGTCTGATGTTGCTGACTCAGCAATGCTGAGGGACCACTGGCTCGTTGCCATCTGTGGGAGCTCTTGGCTCCTGACCAGACGTAGGAGCTCCTTGAGGATATCTATTGCTGCTCCTTGTGTGAGGACCACCTATACTGGACTCGCTCAGCGAGTCCAGTATAGGTGGTCTGGGGGCGTATAGACGGCATCTGCGCAGCCTGCTCAGATGCAGTGGCATGACGAGCCGTATTCGTTTTTCAGGGGCTATTCGGAACTAGCTGCGGTGGTGGCGACTGGGTCTCGTCGCCATGCACAAGGCTAGCAGTTAACCGCGCGTTAATGTTAGCAGCGGTGTCCAAAGCATTCCTCGGGGACACTTGAAGACCACGGTGGGTCTGGGCACCACGTGGAGGTTGCTGACCTCTCGAACTCGACATAATGGGAGAGCAAGGGAATCGGCCATCAGCCGCACATCACTGATCGATAATCTGTACATTAGCTACTGTGCGCACACGCCGGCGTCGCCGCAGTTGTCCGGGGACAGATCCGAGTTAATCCCACAGTGGGATTAACTCGGATTTGTCCCCCCGAGGCGCTAGGATCAGACCATCGCTATATATCAGATTTGTTCCGCCGCACAAGGATTTTGCGGCGGAACGTGCGTGGCGGCGACGCCCTGGTCACGCGTGACGCCGCGCACAGCGACCAGTACACGTATACACGTGCAAAGTGTCACGCAGACGCAGACGCACAATAAAGGCAGCAGGCTTTGGCAGAACACTATAAACGTAAAGGACTAAAAAGTTGAACTTGTTCAACAATCCTCTAGCACATCTCAGTAAAGATGCTCCGCAGAAAGGCACAATACCATCGACATGTGGGTCAGTTAAGGAGACAGGCATTGCTGGCGTGGGGGCGCATAACTGTCCCGAATCCAACACTGACCATGTACACGGGAGACCCGAAAGGTTCGTGCAGAAGCCGCCCCTATCGAGACCCGAGCGCACGCCCAAGCAGAGGACGAAAGGCGGGTCAACGAAACAATTCTGCTGGAGGCCTAGATGCCACCAACCTCAGGGAACCTAGAGCATCCGGGATAGGGCTAAACACGTAGCCCTATCCGGGTCCACGGCACGTGGTACGAGAGATGCACGCAATTACATCGCGACGCGAGATCACGCACGTTTCACACCGAGTCTCGGTGACCGAGAAACAGAGTTTATCGGAATATAAGCATCTTCTGGTCACTAACTCATCATCTAGCGGCAATGGCAGTGTTGGGTTGTGCACCAGTGGTGATTGGCTTGATGGAGAAAACGCTACACTAAAAGCATCGAATTGAGTATCATGTGTAGTAACTTTTCATCTCATCCTTCTCCATCCATGTATAGATCGAACTGCAAGTTGGTGATCTTGGTCCTGGTGATTTCGGTGCTATCGGTGTCCGGCGGATCTCCCCACGGCCACTACCTCGGACATGAGTTGAAGCCTAA